CCCCAAAACCCCAAAACCCCGATTTGATGGATTGATATGCAATTTGATTGGTTTGAATAATCAATTTAACGTCATTATAATTAAGAGATATGAAATAGGTAGGGGAGATAGGGAAAAAACTACTCTTCACTAACACTATTTTTAATTAATTGATATTTTGTAGTGATGGTTCCAATAATTGGGTTTCTATACATATTTCTTCATAGTTCACTAATTTACTTGTATTTAAGTTGATTTACATATTGATTTATTTTCTCTTTCTTGAGTTTTCTTTCTTGCCATTCATTGTCTCCAATATTTGGCCCTAGCCCACCCAATTTCTTATATTTAGACTGATACTAGTTTTGCATTTCTAAGTACTCTTTCATTCTATAAGGTGAATATGACTTCTTAATGCTATTTATCTATCGAACTTGATCTTCCTGCTGCTTAAGTTTAATTAGTTCAAGATCGTTCTGAAGGTTTATTGAGTTGTTAAGTGAATGCAGTTAAACCCTTGATTAGGCTTACTTCTTTAATTGAACTGTCTAATTTAAGGAATCACTCTAATATTGACCAGAATGATCATTGAAGGATTATTACAAATTTTTTTCATTATTTGAGTTTGCTTGGTAAATATTCCTTCTTTTCACAACCTTACCATAGATCTAAATATTGCTATTTTTTTAAGAACTAATTTGGCCGCTGCTTGCACTAATGTTGTTGATTGTCAAAATTGTATCCTGCCTAGGATTATTTAGCTGATTTGGAGCAGAGAAAGTTTATTTAGCTTAAGCCTAAAAAGAGTTGCTACCTTGATTACTTCTGACATTCATTGATTGGGACTATTTTTAAATTAATGGCAATTTAGTTGGGGAGTTTTCATTTCCAAACTCTCCAAATTATGCTGTCTTTTAAGCGCTCTCTCCATCTTTGTCTGCAGTTGAGACCATAGAATGTGTTCCTATCTTGTTCTTGAATTATTGGAACTTCATGTAGAATGAGTCACCATGAATACTTCCATTATAGGTTTTATCACTAGTTGGAGAATATGCTCCACTTGAATACCTATCATTATTCAAACTCATAAGGTGATAGTAAGAGACTTGGGTCGGTTATTTCTCTGATTAAGCATCATTTATGAGGTTCTTTTTAATAGTCATTGAAGCAATAATTGGATTCTATTTCACATCTTCATAAGCAACTAATCTTTAAGCCTTAAAACTTAATACCTATTTGCTATTTTTTGAATTAGAGTTTTCCATATTACTGTATAACTTCAAAGGAGTATCTTAGGTTGAATTACTATCATAAATGACAGTAGTGTCTAGATCTGAGACTTTTTTCTTTCCTAAGTGGCTGTTTGGCACACTGACTGAAAAATCTTAATTATTCTTTTGCTTTGACTCAGCTTTGCCAGGTTTGTTTTGATAGTCTATTGAGCTGTTTAGTGAATGGACCTTTCTTCCCTTGTGCTTCATTTCATAATAATTCTTTTGCATATTTAAGGAAGTTCCTTGATCTCTACTCATATTGTTGATTTCACTTATAGTTTAATGATCATGTCTCATCACTGACATAGGTTTTTAGATCTTTAGATCAATTGTTTTCTTGTCTTTTATGATTTGATCTTACGAAATATTAATTTGCACATTGGTTAGATCACTCTCTTCTCTTTGAGATTTTCTTTTCATATTTTTAGGTGACATCGTATCAATATCTAAATCATGGATGACTGATGCTTTCCTTTTACTCTACTATTGCTCATCATAAGTGTTCAATTTTAAGGGTTGTAATTACTAGCTGCCTTTATTTAACTCATCTTTGCTTGGTCCTTGGATTTAGATTAGAGGACTGTTTATTTCAATAATATTTTTGTTTTGCAGATTATAAGTGTTACTGCTGCTATTTATGTGCAACTTATTGTCCTTCATTTTAACTTCTTTAAACTATACTAGAGACTGAACACTGTTTTGCATAGAATTAGAGTTTGTCTTTGATATGATATTCAACTAGGGCTTTTTTACAACTCCGTCTACCTACCTTATTATTGGGCTATTCTTTTTTATTGATGAATCAGACTACTCTGGGGTATTTTCAACAGAGCCACTAGCTGGAGTATAAATTTTTTGCTCTCTATTTTTGTGTTCAAGTTTTGGGTCGTTATTATTGATGCTTTTGTTGGAGGGAAGGGGAATGACCTCATTCTTGTTGGGATCTATGATGTTCCCAGTTTTGTGAATGTAACTCTGACGCCCTATGAATCGCTTCTGAAAATCCATTTAAAATTATGCTTAATATATTTATCATTGAATCAATATAAATTTTATCAATTCTCCTTTATCACTTCTAATACCATAACGGGGTTTTGGGGTTTTGGGGTTTTGGGG